GGGAGGGAGGGAGGGAGGGAGGGAGGGAAGGAGGGAAGGAGGGCAGGAGGGCAGGAGGGCAGGCAGGCGGGCTGCACAACAGACTTGCCCAGAAATAAAAAAGAAGTTCTCTGACCTCCATCATGCCTGTACCAGGTGTAGAGTTGGCTTCTTCACGTGGCTGAAGAAATCTTACCCCGTGTACATGCGGCCTCTTAACTTCCCATTTCTTAATTTCCCATTTCTTTTAAGGGAGAGTACAGCTGATCTGGGTGAAAATACCATAGAAATGGGTTTAAAATGTCAATAACTCCTAGCCCATAAGGCAGCTGCATTTACTAGGGAGATTCACGCAACATTTTAAGCTCTGCGCTACCATTAACGAACGGAACTGCTGTATTCAGGTGACATGCTGTTTGTTGCTCGTTCAGTTGTCTCTGACTCTCTGTGGCCTCAACAGCCACAAAGACCCTTTGCAAGGGCTGTCTGTCTGCATCTCTTGAGTGCGTCTGTCATCCGTGAGCGTCTCCAGCCCCCGCGCCTCCCGCCGGCCTCTCTCTCGATCGCCGTCCAGGCACCGGGGTCTTCCCCATGACCTGGCCTTCGCCTTCCGGGCCGGAACATCCGAGCTTTGCCGTGGGCTTCCACGACTTCCATCTGGGACGGAGCGGCCCCTTCTTCTCGTGGCCCACGGTCCCCTCAACCCCTTCCTCCAGCCCCGTGGTTCAAAGGCTTCGGTTTTCCTCCGCCGGCCCGATGGCCCAGCTTTCACACCCACAGCTTACATCTGGGGAAACCGTGGCTTTCGCTATGCGTACTGTGTCTTCGTAGTCAGCGTGATGCCTCTGCACTTCAATACTTTGTCTCGGTCCTTCATAGACTTTCTTCCAGGCAGCCGATCTCTTTATTTCCTGGCTACAGTGAATTTTGGAGCCTAGAAAGATAAAGGGTGTTATCACGTCAATTTCTCTGCTTCCTTGCCTTGGGTCATCATTACCTGTTGCCACAATTTTCTTTTTTTTTTTAAATAGTTTATTTAAAAAAAACACACAGTAGCAGAGTTTTTACATTCTCTTCTTTCACTTTCCAGAAAAGATTCCTTAAATCTTCACTTCCAGCCATCAGAGGGCTTTCATCAGCATATAGGAAGGGGCAGATATTTCTTCCAGCAATTTTAATTCCAATTTCTATTTCGTTTAATCTGTCATTTCTGGATTCTGCATATAAGCTAAATAAATGCAGTGCCATTATACAACCCTGGCGTGCTCCTTGTCCAATTCTGAACCCTCCGGATGCTCCATATTCCATCCTGACAGTTGTTTCCTGGTCATCATAAAAATTATTTAATAAGCAATTGAGGTGGTCCGGTACATGCATGTTTTCAAGGGCTATCCACAATTTTTGTGATCTATACCAATGTTTTTCACCCTTAGAAACTTTAAGATGGATGGGCTTCAACCCCCAGAATTCCCCAGCCAGCATGCTGGCTGTTGAAGTCCAACATCTTAAAGTTGCCAAGGTTGTGTTCACACAGCATGCTGAACCTTTTTACTGAGTTAACCCATTTTCAGAATACATTAACTAACTGGACTGGGTTCTGACAATACCCTGGATCGACTTGTTTAATGTTAAAGCTTAGCAAATGCCCTGCCTTTGCTTGGTTTGAATCTGGTGTGTCTCCCTGCTTCTGAGATCCCTGTTTAAATGAACCAACAATCAAAGTGAACCCCAAACCAAGTTCAGTGTAAACTGCCCCTCTTTAAAAAAGCAAAAACCAACCCTGACCTCCCCCGATCACGTCCCCACCCACCCTCCATGTGCTCTGAGGCTGCTCTGAGCCAATTTGAGGAGGTGGGAGAGAAGGTTTCAGGGACACAGCGCGCACACACACACACACACACACACCAAGCAAGCAGAGGAAGCCATCAAGGACAGGCTGGAAGGACGCTGATGCCCAATCTCCTCTTCCTTGCAGAAAGCCTTTCCTGGCCCCATCCACATCCTCCTGCTGGTGGCAGAGAAGGAGGCGACCTCCCACACGGAGAAATTCCCTGGCTTGCAGGTGAGTTCTACCCATCAGCTTCTCGGCCTGAACATGGGTCCCTTTGTGACGTTGTGCAGTGCAAACCCCGTCCTTCCCAAGACAGTAGCAGGACTGCTGTGTGTGTGTGTGTGTGTGTGTGTGTGTGTGTGGTTTTAACAGGATTTGCAACTGCGTGCAGCCCCCAAATTCAGAAGATGCTAAACTGCTCCCTGTCATAGGCCAGGACTGGGCCACGTCTCTGTTAAAAGCAGAAGAGCCCCGCCACCGAAAAGCCATGCGACCTAAAGGAGAGGCCACTTCCTTTGACCCATATCCTGCCTTCCTTCCTAAAACGGACCTTCAGAAGGAGCTTCCTGCAGCAATGGGGTGGTTCAATTCTGCCCCGTTTTGAGAGATATTGAGGAACTTTGGGAAGGAGGCAACTCTAGGTAGATGTTTGGGAGAATTGTTTGGGCTGAAGGTGCCTTGTTTTCTTGCTTCCCCCAGTGGGCCTTTTCTGCCCCAAGCCCCTCGGTTGCATGGCCAAATAGCTTTGTTCCCACGGAAAAGGTCCACTTAGCATCCTGTATGGGACAGCCTTCCCTCTCGTGGGGACGTGACCAGGTGCTCCGCCAAACCCTGGACCTGCTTTGAGACCTGCTGCTGCAACAGCAATGGGGCCTTTGCAGACCCCCCTCCTTATTAAGCACCCCTTCCTAAGGATGGCAGGTGGGCAGCTATGGAGCTCCCCCAAAGCTTCTGCATTTCCTAGGATTGCAACAGTTTGGGGAAACAAAGTTGACTTTGACTCTCTAAATGTGTTCATAATGATGGGTAGAGAGAGACAGAGAAGCGCGAAGTTTTAAGTGAATGAGTAACCATCAAACCATTTTTTTAAACTCCAAACAAACCCTTTTGGAACAGGGACCAGTGTAATCAAATTATTAGATAAAGGCTGAACCATTTTTTCCCCTGTGGAAGGACCACTGTTGGCCTTTGACCAACAGGCTGAGGAGTAAAACTGCATCTCTTTTTTTTTCTTTTTCAATTTTCATTAAACTATAATGAATTTTAGCACTCTCCAGTCAAATGTAGTTAAACTGATGACTCTTTCACATTAAACTGTATAATTTGGTCCCTCGTTTTGAGCCCAGGTAGGGAACAGCATCTACCTGATGTGGCTCATCTCAAAAAAGCTAAGCAGGTCAGATTCACCTGGTCTGGCCTTGGATGGGAGACCTCTAGGGAGCCCCAACTCCTTGGGGAGATGAAAAGCCAGGATGGAAGAAGGCAGGGGCAACCAACGTCTCTCCTGTTCTCAAGCCAACAACACTGAATGGTTTTGTAGCCACCAGGAGATGAACTTAGGATGAGTAAAGGAGACTTTACCTTTTATGCAAACTCTTCTGGGGGTCTCTGGGGGCTACCCCCAAGGGTTTATGCTTAGAAGGAACTGTGTCTGGGAGAAGGTCCCAGCACACAGCGCTGATGCCAGCTTCTTTCCTGACCCTCAGGAGGAATCCAGTGGAGGATGTGGCAACCTGGTTGAGCATCTGGAAAGGGTGTAATAAACCCTGCCTCAGTGCCTGAAAGGCAGAAATAAGATTTTGAAAAGAACAAGGGCAGTTTCAGGATGTCCTTTCCCCCTGCCCCCGGGGAGGGGGGGTAAGGGACGGCACACCCATCGTGATGCCATGATGTAAATGAGGCAAAGTATGTAACTTGCCTCATTTGCTCGATGACATCACAACATGTCAACCCTGACATCATTGTGGCTTCATTGATGGGGGGGCAGCTTTCTGGGGAGGAATCAAAGCAGGCAGTTGCTGCCCACCCCCAGTACTGTTTCCCCCTCCCCACACGCACACATTCTCCAGAATCCTTGAAGGGCAACGTCCCCAGCTCTTATCCTGGCCCCAGCCTGCCTGCCCCCTCCCCAATTGAGTGGGACCAGCTGGGTGGGAATGGCAGGAAAATTCTCCCTGAGAGGCTGGGGGGGCTGGGGGGGCGAGTTCTGATCCTGTCTGTCTCTCCTCTCTCCCCAGCCATTAATTACGCCAACCCCGTTGGCCTTAATGGTCTTCTGGCTCCCGCTGCTAAGTCAGCCTCTTCCACCAGCACTTCGGTGCGCCAGACGTGGGGATTAAGATAATAATTCAGCCTTGAAAAGGGTTCTGTTCCTTTATTAATGCCGCTCGCTTTAATTAATGTAATGTGAAATATTAATGGCCTTGATTAACTGCCACTGCCCTGAATGATTAAAATGTTCTCATTTCCCGCACGAAAAGGCACCAAGGTGGGGTGGGGGAGAGCTCCTTCTGGGGCGCGAGATGAATGGCAAGTCCGAAAGGGAGCCGGAAACCCCCCTCTCTCTGCCCCGCCTGCTTCACAGGAAGTGGGGCCACACGGGGTCCCCGGCACCAGACCGCCTGAAATGTAGGGGTTCGGCAAGCAGGTAGGCGTGAATTGGCTTTGCCTTTGGAACTGCAGGTCTGGATTCCCTGCCAGCAAAGGCCAAACCCTGCAAGCTGAACAAATGATGCAAAAAAGTCTTGCTTATGCTTGGAGAATCAACTCCTTTTAAAATAGGAACACAATTCCTGCTGTTTCTGCTACACCCGGGCGGGCAGGCGAGGCCTCTCCTTCCAGCCACCCTTTGCAGCAGTCAGCCCCCAGATGGCCCAGTTCGCACCGCATGTTAAATCCCTCACTCAATGGCCGTGTTCACACAGCATGCGGTGCCCAGGCAGATTAAACCCCGTCGTGGCTTAACACAACTTGCTTAGAGAAGGATGGTGTTCCCAACCCTTCTGAACCACAAATTTCATAATCCCATTTTAAGTGAGTCTAATATGTTTTGGGAATCCAGCCAACATATTGTCTGGTTTATACTTCAGCTCATTTTCACATGCAGTATTTAGGTATCTCTTGGATTTTATAAAAACATAGGTTTATTCTCTTGGTCCAAAGAAGCAAAGGTGAATCTCCTTCAGGTCCAACTTGACTCTTGGTTACTCTGCAGATGCGATGTTCCTACAGTTTTCTTGGTGACAGAACAGAAAGTGTGTTGCCACTGTCTTCTGCCAGGATGTGTCTCAACTTTCCAGCCCAGCCTGCAGCCCTGGGATCTCCTGGTGGCTTCCCATCCAATCTGACATTGCATTGTCTTTCAAGATCAGCCAACCTCACTTGCTGGTGTAATGAAGCAAACCAAGCTAGATCATTAGATGGTTTCTCCAACCCAAAGGTCGATTGTCGTCCTGTGTCTTGCCTGCAGGTGGAGACAGTGAGCTCTCTGAAAGCTCTGGGGAGGCATGTGGACAGCGGCCAGTTGACCCAGGCCTTTGATGGTCAGTTCCCCTACAGCCATGGGGAGTGGGTGCAGTTCTTTCAGGTATCCTCTTCTCATGCCATTATCCATGTGGGGAAGGGGGTTGGGAGCAAACTTGTTTCTTAAGTTTCAGCCGCAGGGGTGTCCATGTGGCGTGGTCAGAAAAGTCAAGACGCCCGCTGCCCTGGTGTGATTGAAGTTCCACCTGGTCTTTTTATTTGCATGATGCGACACAGATAAAAATCAGGTGGAGCTTTGATCTCACCATCACGGCCACCATCTTGACTTTTTGGACCACCCCCTGCAGAGACCCCTCTTCTGTAATTTGTCGTGGAATTTCTCACTTAGAAAGAAGGCCCTAATGCCGTTGATGCCGTTCAGCCCCAAACTCCAGGCCTCCTCCCGCACTTGCTGCTCCCCGCACATCCCTCGGACTCGGGTCTTCCAGCTCCCGTGGCTCAGACCGGGGTGGGAGATCTCCTTGGGGTGGGGCCTTGGCCTGTGCTGCAGAGAACCACAGTCCCCAGCGGTGCTCTGTGAATAAACACTCTGCTGAAGGCATCTGGTGAGGAACTCCTTGCAGCAGGTGGAAAATACCGGTCTAGGCGGCTGCAAATGTGTGCCAGGAAGACCTGCACTTGGAGACTGGCATCTCCGTGTACGAAAGCCCATGCCTCCTGTCCTCTCTCCATCTTTAGTGGGCAGCGTGCGGGCTTTCTGCCACCAGTTTTATCACCCAGAATTTCCTCCAGAGTGGCCTGCAGTCTGTTGGGTATCACCTTGCGTCCCGGCCTCCCAACCGTAAGGCTGCAACCTTGATTTTGACAGAATGTCTTTTGGTGTTTCCTCCTCCTAGAAAATCCATCATTTTGTCAGCGGACTCAAAAAGGCCTCCGAGTTGTTACGGAGCACCATCCAGGAGCTGGAGAAGGGAGAGGTTCTGGAGACCTTGCAGGTAATGACTTGCCATCTGCCGGACCGTTGCATGAGGTTGAGGTTTGATGCCCCGTGGCAGTTCCTGGCATTGGCCAGGCGTGGTGATCTGCCTCTTCTCCTGGCTTGGAAGGGCCGAATTAGTTCCACTCGTCACTGGATGGCAGAACAGAGTCTTGGGCCACTGGAGGATTGTGACGGAGATGGGCGAAAGTAGCTACAGGCCCCTCTCCGTCTTGGAAGGAAGAAACAGCTTTCTTTGAGAGTGGCCGAGCACTCCTCACCGCCTGGCCAGTCCGCGTGCTTCATTCTGAAAGCGAAGTGGTTTGTTGGACTTCAGGTCCCATGGTCTGAGTTCACAGCACACCAAATGGGAGTCAATAAAACGGACTACATGCTATGCCCAAATGAGTATCCCACACGTCAGCTTGAAGGGATGGCTCGTGTTCCAAAAGGTGCTAAGACATGGTTGGGTTGCTCCAACACGATGAGGCACAAACGACCCACCTTCTTTATGGCCTCCTCTGGCAAGCTGTGTGAATCCAGCCATTCTCTCCCAACCAGCATGGACAAAGCTGGCTTTATAAGGATGGGGTGCAGTGGTTTTCAGGGAAACTCCCAGTTAGCTCAGGGGGTCTAGCGGATTTCTGCCCCATAGTGGGGCTCGCTGTTGCACAAAAGGCGGGGGAGTAGTTCAAGAGCTGTAGATGCCTGTGCCCTCTCTTACACACCACCTGCATCAGCAATGTTCTGCTGGAGTGGGCTCTCAAGGCCCCTCTAGCAGGAGAACCTTTTCCTTCCAAGCTTTGGAAGATGGCTAACTGGGGGAGGAGAGAGTTGCCCTCCCTCGTTCCTCGTCCTCCTGTAGCTCGTGTTGAGCTCCGTACTGTCTGGACCAAAGAGATTCAGAGAGAATGGTCGCTGCCCTCCATGAACCTGGCTAACATGTTTGATTGCCCCACAGGCGGTGGAGCACCAGGTGAGCAGGCACCGGCAGCTCATGCAAGAGGTTCTGTGCAATGCCCAGCTGGTGAGCTTGCAGAGGGAAGGTGGGGCCACGCTGGCCAGGCTGCGGAAGGAGGCGGCTCGGCTCGGCTTCACTCCCGACGTCCGGTAGGAGAGCAAAGTTCTCTGGCCTCGGCCTGAAAAGCGAGTCAAAAGCGAGAGCCTTGGCAGTCCCTGGAAAGGCTCCCAGCCTTCCCCATCTCCCTCAAGGGGCCTGGGGCAAATCATGGGGCTGCCACAGGAGGCCTGAGGACTGGATGGTTTATTCCCATGCAAAGTTCTCATGAAGGTTTGCAGTGCTTCACAGTGGAAGGAAAAGCCACATGGAGACGACTCGACCTCCTCGCTTAGTTGCCTGATTAGACCCCAGCTTCCACAGAGCACCCAGACTCCCATTGTGGGGGGAATGGAACTCCCTTTGGGTTGGCAGAAGGAGGGCTGGTTCCTGGGTGCCTTCCTGAGTTGATGCCCACCACAACTGGCTAGTGATGGAAAAGACTCTGAGGAAACTGGGGAGTCTGAATGCTCAGAGCGGACAGTAACTTCTCAGGGAACTTCTGTATCTGCTGTAATTGATCAACATCTGCTTGCCTTCACTAGCGCACCTTCTTGTCAGTTCTGCAGTCTTGGCTTTCCAAAGGTCTTGCATTTAAGTACAGGACAGACGTGCCAGCGACCTCTTTTTTCTCCCATGCCCGCCTCACAGTGCCTTCTTCTTGTCCCCAGCTTATACCAGGGGTGGCTTTTCCAGCCTTCAAGCCTTTCAGTAGAAGTTTTGCCTTTCAGTAGAAGTTCTACTGTAGACTCAATCTGATGTGTCACTGTGACAGTGTCACAGTCAGGGTTCCCTAGCAGGTGGGATCATCTAAGTGTCTATTGGTCACTTTGGGCTGGGGCAAGCATGACCTTATGCCTCTGGTCCTGGGGATGCTGGTTTAGGCGTGGGAGGGTTTGCCTCTTTCAAACCACCATCTCCCCTGTATCCACCAGGTCCCTCAGCTACTGCTAGCTCGGGGTCCTAACTAGGAAAGAGGGATCAGCCTGGCTAATAGCTGGCCAGCTCAGGGAGAGGCACGGCCCTGAAGCAGCACACAGAGACAGAGACATCCCTTGCTTCCCTGCGCAGTTCCCTGCCCCACACTGATGTTCAGCTCTTGAACAAATCCATGCCAAACACTTGTGCAAAGATGGCAGTGAGTTCTGACCAATGGCCGAACCCACCAGTTTTGCCATCTGTCAGACCTTGCCTTCCCAGCCCCAGCCCACATTCAAGGGAGTTTCTGGTGAGCATTTTCCAATGGTTAACACATTCTATTAATTCCACTTTAATGAAATGTGTTAGTCTGTAAAGGAGCTGCCAGGCGTCTCCTGAGTTTCGCTGACACGGCTCTCCTACAATTCCTGCTGGTTAGAAATGCTTGGTGGGAGGAGGAGGAAACTCAGCCGGGAGAATCTACCAATCTTCTTCCTTAACTTGCCCCAGACGCTGTAAATAAAAATGCCATCATTTGGTGGCAAGCAGGATGGGCAGGAAAGGTAGCAGCAGTGGGGGCAGCAAACTTTAGGTCAGCCTGATTTTTTTGCTGTTTCAAGAACCGATGGTGGACAGTCCTTTAGCCAAGCAGTGGGGAAAGCTGAATAAACTTGAGATTATCCAACATACCTTGGAAAGCAGATGTTGATAAGGAAAAGAGCGATTTGGACTCATAAAGGCTCCCCCTTTTGTGTGTGTTTGTTAGGCACAGTTTTGACAGTGCCCTGGCCATCTACAATCTGGTGGAGGAGGAGGTTCACACGCTGGTGACCAAATCCAACAGTTGTTTGGAGCACCTTGAGTTTCTGAAGAAGATCCGGGAGCTGGAGGAAGAATTTCACCAAGTAAGTGAGACTTCTGTGGCCCCGAGTGTGTCAGCGAAGCTGTGTCCAATGCTAGTTAACCCCCGTTGTGCCCATCCTTCCACGTTTTTCATTTATTTGTCTGTTTATTACAGTAAATTTACATGGTCACCCATCTCACAGTCATGACTCTGGGCAGCAAATACAAGGTTGAAAAACCAACAGAGCAAGGATAAATAAAAAGACCCAGAGCATGCCTGCCCTGCTGAATCTAGTGGCCAGGTGGAAAGAATTGGAGAGAGGTGGTCCTGCAAATTACCCAGCCCCGTGCCATAAACTTTATTGGAGATAACCAATAATTAGTTTCAGACACACATGATCTGGATAGGTTGGGCTGGGGGTGTTGGCCTGAAAGGAGGACTTTGTGTTCCCAAATCGTGTGGATGCCATCAGGAAGGGCAGTTTCATTTTCCTCTCCCCCAATTCACCTGCCTCTTGAGTCCCCTTGGTGAGGCTGAACAGATTCTCTGAACAGATCACTCTGCCTACAAATGCCATGTCTTTGTGAAAGGCATATCCAAAAGTGAACGCTCTTTTCCGTTTTGAAGTTCAGACGGTCTAAATCTGGTCCAGGGCCATACAGAAATACACGGAAGTATTACAAGTTTTAAAAGGAAAGTAATTAGCATCCTCTGCAATAGCGGGGAGATAAGTTTTCTCTGTATTTCCATAACGCAAGCCCTTTTGGTATGCAATTTCCAGAAAAGGGCGTTCACTTTTGGCTACACCTTTCACAAAGACATGGCATTTGTAGGCAGAGTTATCTGTTCAGAGAATCGGGCAATTTGCCAGAGAAAACTTCGAGGGGTTGGCATAAATTCATGATCCCACCACCTAGATCTGGGAGAGATTTCAAGGGTCAGTAAGCACAGAGATACTCACAAAGCGGGGTGACCACCCTAGCACCATCTTTCAGATTTTGGCCTCCCTTGCAGATGCCCCAACAGAAGAAGCAACTTCCTTAGATGTTTCCCTTGGTGCCAGTCAACGCAGAGGAAAAATATACGGGTTTGCGTCTCTCTGTGGAAACGGAGAAGCCCCTTTGAATGGAGCAGTTGTGAGAGGCTGGGAAGTCAGGCTGGGAAGTGTCCAGATTCACCCATCTCTTGCTAGAGCCTCACCGCTGTTGTGGTGGTTCCTTAGTCCCATGGCCGGGTGGGCTTATTGCTGCCTTCCA